GGGGGCGGGTTCAAACACGTTAATTGAACTTGTACCACTTGGGCAATGAATTATTTCTGTCCTTCCATTTTTCCATGCCTCTGGTAATAGAGGTGACTTTAATTAAAAAGAAATCAATCTATCCACCCCCATCAACCACCCAAGGCCACCGCTTTCGAAGGAGGTAGAGAAGGTGAAAGGCAGCAAATGCTGATGAGAACAGTAACTTTTAAAGCGACTGGAATATCTGGACTAAAGAAAAAGTCGATGTTTACAGAGCACGTGTCGCGCTCAACTGGGAATGCTGTGTATACACTTAGGCTTGCTGGCGACGCCCTCCTTTAGGAAGGCACGCAAGTGAAATGCTTCTCATCAAAGCTACACAGAAATGGAATATATACAGTGGTTTCCATTTCTTTTTTTGCCACCAAGGACTCCTTTTAGCAGCTTGTTTTGTTACCCACGGTGATGGTTAACTTTGTTTCAACTTGACTGGGCTAAGGGGTGCTGGTAAAACATTATTTTTGGTGTGTCTGTGAGGTGCTTCTGGCAGAGATTTGCATTTGAATCTGTAGACTGCGTCAGGATTGCCTTTACCAGTGCTGGTGAGCATCATCTAATTCACTAAGGGCCTGGCACCAACAAAAAGGTGGAGGAAGGGCCGATTTGCTCTGCCTAGACTGGGGCATCTTCTCCTGCCTGTCAGTGCTCCTGGTCCTTGGGCCTTTGGACTCAGGCTGAATTATACCACTGGCTTTCATGGTTCCCCAGCTCCGATGACAGGGGCACTGCGGGTGTTCTTAGTCTTCATATTCATGAGTCAATTCCTATTCTTTGTCTCTATCCACCTGCCCAGCCACTCATCTGCCATCTGCCTACCTAGCCCTCCTTTTTGGCTTATTGGTTCTTTTTTTTTTAATATATCTTTATTGATTTCAGAGAGAGGAGAGGAGAGGGAGAGAGATAGAAACATCAATGATGAGTCATTGATCAGCTGCAGCCCGCAACCCGGGCATGTGCCCTGACCGGGAATCGAACCCTGATCACCTGGATCCTAGGTCAACGCTTAACCACTGAGCCACGCCCGGCCGGGCTGGTTGATTCTCTTAAGAACTTGAATACATCTACTAATTATTATTTTGCTTCATCTACTTTACCTCTAATTTTCTTTCTAAATTGTTCCATGTATTATTTCCACAAGGAATTTGAGTAATTCCATTAAAAGTTCATGGTCCTTTATTTCAGCTGGGCCGTACACAAATCCCCGCAAGCCCTCCCCAAGTTCTTGTGTGGGTCTCTTCCATTCTCCCCATTGTACTCTAAACCTTTATCATCAACAAGGCTCTTAATTCTACCCCTAGCGGTGCCCACCTCTCTTCTTTCCTTGACTCTCAAAACATTCTATTTTTTGAAAACGGGTCATCTCAAGTGTATTCTATTTCTACACACTAAGTCTGCCCTCTTTTTCTACCAAATTGGAGGAAGAAGGCCTCCAAAGAAAATTCTTCCATTAGTGCTAGATTTAATTTTAGCTTATATAATAACTTAATTTCTACCCACTTACCTTTATCTTCAACCTCCCTCGAAAGTGGCTTACTTTTCAGAATGGAAAAATACTCAAATTTCTCTTTAATCTTGATCCACAACCCTCTTTTATAATCAGTCTACCTTTTATGCCCTACTATAGACCAGTAAAATTAAGTGGGTAAGAAAAATTGAAAAAAGGTTACTTTTTTTTTTTTAACTACATATATTCAACAGACCATCACCTAAAATTACTATTATTTTGTGAAAGAATTTTTTAAATTAAAAAAGCAAGGGGCATAATTTCAGAATGAAGGTCTTTAATCCATTTAGCTTTTTACAAAGATACTATATTGTCCTTTTTACCATTTGAATGTAGAAGTCATGAATTGATAGTATTTGGGAACTGATGATTTATACTTTCCAGACACTACTGAACCTCCTGAAAACTGGTTCTTAAATTCATAAACTGCTCTTACAGAAGTCACTGACTTTCTAATTACCTAAAGGGCACTCTTCAACTCTTCCCTGGTATCTCCTCCGTACCCTCCCAGGTCACTTTCCTATAGCAACATCACTACATATTGGGTTTTCCACACTTCTGGAAACTTTCTGTCTCTACATCTTGAAGGAGATGTGAACATAGACAAGAGTGGGCCTCGGTATTCCATTTCTAAATTCCTTTTTGTGCTTTATCCTCTTGTTAAATCTTAATTCATTTCTGTGTCTAAACATTGGTGAATTCCTAAACCAATTTCTAGCCCAGATATCTTCCCTGTGCACCATGTCCACAACTCCAATTACCTCTGGACATCTCTACTGTCTCACAGGTAGAACAAGTGAGAGCAATTTCCTTTAAATCCTTGATTCTAATTTTTAAACATAGTAATATATTTGACAGGATAGATTTTACACTAACATAACAAAGAACTCTTACACAAAGCAAAAAAAATAGGTTTAATGATTAAAACAGATGAATTAATAGGTTTATAACAACCATTAACTAAGGGAAGCCCTAGAACCAGAAATAGGTATTTTAAAATTGCATGCAAACCCTAGTTACTATAAAAACCAAAGCAATACCAAAATATCTCAGCTTCCTAACATAGACTCCAAGTCTTTTTATTTTCAATTCTTGGCAATCAAAATATGTACACATTCACATGCTACTGGTAGTGAAGGAATAAGATTATTTGTATAGGACTACAAATATCTTTCACAGATGGGAGGGCACAAAAAGAATAGTGTCTTTCTCCACCTTTTTGGGCCCATCTTGAAGAAAAAAAAAAAAAGGCACTCCCAAAGATTCCTTGGTAACACCTTTGCTAGGTTTGTTACATAATCTTCACATGTAAAACTAACGGTCCACTCATTTCACATTTTTGAGAACCACAAGGCATTGGAACTGCTTTCTTTAACTCATGTGCCAAACAATTGGCTTCAACAATGACAAAAACTTTGGATTCAATTAAAAAAAAAAAATCTGGGCTGTTTCCATCAAAACTTTATCATATGGTCAATTACTGGACCTTGCCACGCATAGCCCAATATACTGTGGATCTGAAACAACTACCATATAAGGTGAAGAATTATTCTAGCTTTCTAACATCGGTGGTCCTAGCTCCCTTGTACCAACAACTTTGTCATTCTTCCTTCATTATTATAACCAAATGCTCCGAGCCCAGGTTTAACCTGAAAGATTTAAAAAAAGATGCTTAAATAAATTACCGAGTCATTAAAACAAAGAGTAATGGAAGTCTTCAAATGCCTGTGGGCAGTTAGTTGTCCACTATTCACAGAATCTCTAGAAACCATTTGCCTAAGGCCAAAGATAATTTGCTTACTAAATCTGATTCATATTGCGTGATACTGAAACTGCACTTCGGTAGCTAGTCTCAAGTCAAACTAGGCTTAACTAGTTCTCTGCATTTATTGCATCCATGTAGTGTGCAATTTTTGATGCTGAATAAGAGATATGCGGCAATTGAAGGCTTCGCCACAAGCATCACATTCATGGGTTTCTTGGGTTTTCATCTCTGCATGGATCTTCTGATGGTTGACAAGGCTGCGCTGTTGACTAAAACTTTTGTCGCACTTTTCACACTTATAAGGTTTTTCTCCTGTGTGTATTCTCTGATGCTGAATAAGGCCTGAGTTCCGGCTAAAGGCCTTCCCACACTCATCACATTTATGGGGTTTATTACCTGTGTGAACACCCTGATGTCGAATAAGATTACAAAGTTGACTAAAGCTTTTGCCGCACTGTCTGCACCGATAGGGTCTCTCACCAGTGTGGATTCTCTGATGTTCAATAAGAAATGAGCTCCGACTGAAGCTTTTCCCACATACAGTACATAAGTAGGGCTTTTCACCAGTGTGGATTCTTTGATGTTGTACAAGATGAGCACTGACACTAAAAGTTTTCCCACATTCATCACATTTATAAGATTTTTCCTTAGGGAAGACTTCCTGCTGTATAACAAGACTGCAATTTGGATCAAAACTTTCCTTAGTTTCATTGTATGAATACGTCTTCTCTCTGGTGTGAATTCTCTGATGCTGAATAAGACCTGAACTTCTACTAAAGGCTTTTCCACATTCCTCACACTTATGGGGTTTATCTCCTGTGTGGATTCTCTGATGACGAGTAAGGTTGCAAAGTTGACTGAAGCTTTTCCCGCACTCTTTGCACTGATAAGGTCTTTCACCTGTATGGATCCTCTGATGTTCAATAAGGAATGAGCTCCGACTGAAGCTTTTTCCACATTCAATACAAAGAAAAGGCTTCTCACCAGTGTGGATTTTTTGGTGTTGTATAAGGTATGTACTTAATCTAAAGGCTTTCCCACATTCACCACATTTATGGGGTCTTTCTCCAGTGTGAATTCTCTGATGTTCAACTAGTAATGAATTTCGACTAAAGCTTTTTTTACATTTGGTACAGTGATAGGGTTTTTCACCAGTGTGAGTTCTTTGATGCTCAATAAGGTGTGACTTCCAACTGAAGGCTTTCCCACAGTCACTACACTTATGGGGTTTCTCACCTGTGTGAATTCTTTGATGTTTAACAAGGCTCCTTCTCTGGCTGAAGCTCTGTTTACACTGATTACACTGATAGGGTCTCTCTCCAGTGTGGATTCTCTGATGTCTAATAAGGGTTGAGCTCACACTAAAGGTTTTTCCACAGTAATTACACTCATAGGGCCTTTCCCCAGTGTGAATTCTCTGATGTTCAATAACAAATGAACTGCGACTAAAACTTTTCCCACATTCATTGCATTGAAAAGGTTTCTCACCAGTATGGACCCGTTGATGTTGAATGAAATGGGCCTTGCGAACAAAGCCCTTTCCACATTCTTCACATTTATGGCATTTCTCTTCTGAGTTAGGTCTCTTACGAATAATGTTAGTGTTTCCTCTGAACATTCTCTGTTCCTGGGTCAAAGATTCCCTTGGTATTTCCCATAAGAAGATTCCTCTCTGTTTATCTAACCTACCAACAAGTTCAAAAGTTTCTCTACACATGGGATCCTGGTCAGTTTCACTTTTGATTCTTGTAACTATTATACCCTTTGATTCCACTTCTTCCTCAATTTCCTCAATTTCTTGTTTCACAGTTGGCTCCTCATCCTTATCTCTGTTTAAAACATCTAGAATAATAAATAGAAAACAGAAACATCAGCCAAGCTCTTTCCTATTAAGGAGAAACTCAGAAAAATGTGATAATTCAGATAAATCAAATTAAGATAAACTAACCTACTATATCAAACATAGTTTACTACCTCCAGTATTGTTTTGAGGATTAAATAAGTTCATGTACATAAAGCTTTTAGAACAGTACCCAGTGCCTGGCAAAGAGCACAGACTACATAAATACTATTATTGAGTATTAGTTACCTGATGCAATGAAATGTTTTTCTTGGAGAATGGGTATGAAAAGAGTGTTTATGAGGCAAAGAATGAGTCTGCAGGAGGAGGCAGAGTTGAGAGGAAGGGCTGGTAAATCAATAGTAAATTATGCAAGGTAAGGTGGATAAACAAAGAAATAAAACAACTAGCGGTGGGATGAACCAGTCTACCCAAGGAAGAAAGACTAACATGAGAAGAAAACAGTAGGTTCAGGAAAATTTAGAATGAGATAGCATTATTGTAAAGTGAATATAACAAATAACTGACCAAAAGGAACACATAAAATGATACTGAAAAAGATAAAAGACAAAAACTAGGGAAAGCAAAAATTCATTCATTAATAAGCATTAACTCATTGCAGCCAAAAGTATTCCAGGCACCGTGTAATGAGCCAGGATTCAGAGATAAGACATGAAGCCTCCTACTAAATGGAATGGACAATAACATAAATGGAGAAAGAAAATAATGTGATAAAAAAAACATTAAGTAAAAAGCAGTTCCTGCATCAAGATACTTAAACAAAAATAATAATAGGTTGAAGTGACATTGAGTCTATGACATAGAAAGACAAAACAAAATAAATATAAAGGGAAATGGTCAGAACTAATAGAAAGAACAAAGAAAAAGAGCAGTCTGTGGTATCTTATGTCTTTACCTACCTCAAATCATACCACATTCTTCAAGTATATATGATTCTCACTCCTCTAAAGATATTAAGAACCCAAGTTGGAATCATTTAGTCCCAAATGAAAAGCTGCATGATCTCTAAGAGATGAAAATCTCCCATGTGTTGCAGGAAAGATAATATAAAGGTCTATGGTATAACAGAGTAGCATACTGACTTCTTTTCTGATTTTCTATCTCTTGCTGCAAGTTGGATAACTTCACTAGAGGATTCAATCACTACCAAGTATCAATTTGGCTTAAACAATTTCCTTTTTAGAGTTTCCCTTTCTCTCAATTTTCTAGTCTTCTAACTGTGAAGTCATCTTTGAATTTTCCCCCCACTTAATTTAAACCAGTCTTTAAGTCATTTTATTTCCCTAAAACTTACTCCCCTAACAAACTACTAGAAATTTTACTTCTACTTAGGCTACTTACAGTGCTCTCTCTCAAATTCACTTTCAGTAGACTGTTTTTCCTTCACACAATTAAAAAGAATAGGAGAACTCCAACTTTCTGTCCCCTACCTATAAAATTATCTGCAACTGTACATGAATAGATATCCCATTCCTATCCAAGGCTAATCCATCTACCATCTCTTGATCCCACTTGCCTCTGGGAACTTGTTCAATTATTACCATTTTTTCCTCTTTCTTCAATTTGTATTCTCCATTGACACCTTCCTACCAACATACAAATATGCCGAACTTTATCTTGAACCTGAAATCCTTCTCTTGATGAAAGCCAATCTTCAAAAAAAATCTTAGGTGTAGTATAGCTCTTCATTTCCTAACTATATTTTCCATGCCCATTCAACCTATTCTACAACCTACTGTGAAATCTGGTTTTTGCTTCCAGCATCTACAGAAACTTCTCATTAAGTCATCAATAACTTAGGAATAACAAATACAATGGATGCTTTTCAGTCTTTGTTTTGCAGCATCTGACACTGGTGACCACTCCCATTTTTTGACACTGTTTTAGGTTTCTGTATTGTTATATTCTGTTCTCTCCCTACTTCTTCTTTGGCCTTTTCTAATACATCTTCCCTCATGGATTTCTCTTCCTTTGTCAACTGTTTAAGGTTATCGTTACCCATGTCTATACCATCTCACTCTATATAAACACTCCCTGGATATAGTCACAGGGCTCACAATTAACATGATCATCATCTGCTCTCATGTCTGTCTCCATCTCTAATCATGATTTCTTGAGAGGCACCATCATCCATTACCCTAAAGTCCCAAAGCAGAAAACCATCCTAGATTCGTTTATTTTTCTTACTATTAATCAATTACCAAAATCAGTGATGCTACTCTCTAGCATCTAATTTCTTTTTACCCTTACAACCGTTCTTTCCTTGGATTACTGCAAAAGCCACCTAATAATCCTTGGCTCTGGTCTTTAAGCTGACCCAACGCTACATCTACTTCCCTGAATCCAGAGAGAGCTTCATAAAATGGAATTCATGGCACCATCTATAGTTTTACCAGCACTCCATCACTTCTAAGATTACATCAAAACTCTGCACTATGAACTCAGCACTTCATGATAATGGTTTCTAAGTTGCAGTTCACCCTGCTACCTACTCTATCACAATTTAAGTGGGGAAACTATTTGTGTTATGATCCTTCATGCCATTTCATTCCATATCTTGTTTACTAAATTCCCCCCAACATTACTTACCTGAAAAACTCTTGGCTTCTCTTAAGATTCAATTCAAAGCAATAGTTTTTCTACAAAGCCTTCATTCTCTCTACTAGACAGATTTAGGTGTTCTGTTTTTATCACCAGCCCTTGTCGATAACTTCATTAAAGCTATTATTACACTGCACTTTTAACTTGTTTGTTTTTCTCTCTTCAACTGGATTGTAAATTCCTCGTGAGAAGGGAAAGTCTCTTCATGTTTACCCGGTAGATATTGTTCAGAGGATTTTTTTCAAAGGAATCAGGAAAAATTATCATTATTTGCAAATGATATGAATGACTACTTAAAATATCCAAAATAATTAAATGAAATATAATAGCAATGACAAGCCTAATATATAAGTAAATACTGTTTCTTACTACCAAGAAAAATCATTTTATAGATTACAGAAAAATAAAATACGCTCTTCATAACAAAAAACACAAAAAACCCAGAAATAAATCTGATAAGAAAAGTGAAAGATCCATAAAATTTTTCTGAAGAACATAAAAGAGAGTTAAATAGAGGATTGAGAGATTCAATATTATAAGGATCTTAATTCTTCCCAAACTAACCTATGAACCTAATTACATTCCAACTAAAGTTGGAACTAAAAAATCCCCAAATGAATCTAAATTTCAACCAAAGCCCTACCGGCATGGCTTGGTGGTTGAGCATTGACCTATGATCCAAGAGATCACAGTTCCATTCCCAGTCAGGGCACATGCCTAGGCTTCGGGCTCGATCCCCAGTGGGGGGCTGTGCAGGAGGCAGCCGATCAATGACTCTTTCATCATTGATGTTTCTATTTCTCTCTCCCTCTCTCTTCTTCTCTCTGAAATCGATAAAAAGATAATAAATAAGTAAATAAATAAATAAATTTCAACCAGAACAATGCAGAAAACTAGCTATCCTGAGAAGAGATGTAAAAGAATGACTTAATAGATATAAAATGTAAAATATTGCTAAAATAAATAAAAGAGGCACTGGCATAAAAATAAATAGATCAAATAGACAGCTAATGAAATTAGTGAGTCTAGGCTTCTAAATAAAGCAGTCTGGAAATGACTACCCATTAGATCTGGGTTTGGTAGCGATAATCACCTTCTGGGTTGTCTGCCATGCTTGTATTATATGTTCCTATCTTGTGAGCATAACTAATCTGACTAGAGTAGGCAGCTTACTCAAAGTGCATCTTTCCCAGGAATTTGGAATTGCAACTGAATTAGTTAGCCTAAAGGTGACTAGAATTGTAACCTATCACGTCAGAAGCTAAAGGGACAAAAACATGTGAACATAGGAGGAAAGACCATTCTGCCAAGGAGAAAGAAACAGACCACAAAGACAGAGTTAACTCCTGACTTCCTGAGGAGTGATCCAATTTCTGGTTTTAGTTCTTTTCTGATGTCCAGTTGCAATCCTGCTCTTATATTCCATGAGCCATCTATGTCCCTATAATAACTTCTCTTATTGGCTTAAGCTAGCTTAAGTAGTTGATCTCTATAATCTTTAACCAAATAGTTTTATAATAATATGGTAGCTGAGGAGAAAGAGGCAAGGAAATGGCAAAGTAGAAGTGGCTGAACTTTAGGACAGAACCGCAGAAGATGGTACCCTTTTTCTGCAAAGGGTCAGATGGTAAATATTTCTGGCTTTGTGAGTCATGTGGTCTCTGTTGCAACAACTCAACTCTGCTACTGCAGCATGAAAGATAATACATAAATGAGGGGATGTGCATGTTCCAATTAAACTTTATTTACAAAAACAGGCATTGGGCCACATTTGTCCTGTGGACAATAGTTGCTAACCCTGCTATCCAATGGAGTATATAACAATAATTTTCTTGGTAAAAGAATGGGAGGATGGGGAAGAACTTGTATTCTTAGGGCTAGCATAGTGCTTGATAACTATTTATTAAATGATGAGTAGTTGAACAAATAATTGCAGAGATTATAATCAAAAAAGGAAACAATGAGCTTACGGTCTTGTAGGTACAGCAATTCCCAATTCTGTCAAGGTCCAATATGGCTCAAGTAGACTGGAGAGAAGTCATTAAAACTGAAGAAGTCGATTTCAATGGAAAGGACTGAAAGATCAAGAACTGAGAAATCAAGCTGTCAGCTGCATCATCAATGTAGCTATTAAAGTGTTTAAAGAAAAATCAGCATGGAAAGAAAGGTATGATGAACCAAAATTACAAAGCTAGAAGTGTTATATTAAGTAAAGCACAAGATAAAGTGGAGAAAAACACTACATTGGAATAGTCTAAGAATAGGGATCTCTCGTCCAGGGAGGTCTCATCAAGGGATGGAGATAGATGGTTTGTAGAGGGGGATGAAAAGACTGTGAAATAAATGATGAAAAGCTGCATTTTGCTAAAATAAAGAAGCGAGCTTGAGAGTAGGAGGTCACAGATGGGCTCACTCTCATGTCTTTATCCATATGGTACTCACATTTTACAGTACTAGGGACAGCAAAGTCTGGTCATTTGCCTGGTTCTGTCAACCAGGAGACCATATATGTGGATAAAGCTGGCAGTAACTCAGAGACACCATGTAATATTAAAAAAAACCTCAGCTGCTGATACTGCTGTAGATTGAAATGGTGCGCCAGAAATAGATGAAGGTAGAAAGCAAGGCAGAGACTATACTAAGGCGGTCCTAGTATGTATGATAAAAAAAAAAAAAAAAAAAAAAAAAAAAGATTTT